TAGACTAAATATGATCCAGAAATCTTTTGCATAGAAACTTAAAACAAGGTAACATTCTACAAGAATGTTTCAACTATTCCGACCATGAGCATAAATATTGGGTTAAGGACTCATGGGATCTGTGGCACTGGTCTCAACTAGTGGAGGATCTACTCAAATCGCTTTCAAGTAAGTTTGTTTCACTTCTACGATGAAGGTGCCAAAATTGTTGATTTCCTCGCCAATTTTGGATGTGGTAGGAGAGAGAGTTATTTTTTATACTGTGGAGGAATTTCTCACTGGAGCCCCAGAAAAATTCCTCAAGATGAAGTATCTGGCTGGCCCTTCCTTAGAGTCAATTAAGTGTGGTTTTCCACGGTCTATGGGTGTGGTTTGGCAGGAGATTGGCTGTGCTTCTCTTGTGTGTGGTTTCTCTTTCAGCTGTTGGGCCAACAGGCTCTTGTCCCCATGAATGCCATCATTCATGAGTAGATGTTCCCAATGTCGTACGGCTGTAGTGTCGGGCAATCGCGGGTAAGAGATTCGAGCTCCATTTTTTATAGTTGCCCCTCCATTGAGAGTAAACTTGAAGAAAGAGACTTTCGAACCTGTCCAAGCCCAACTTCAGTTGAATTGGTAAACTTGGCTTTTGACCTCAGGTTGGGTCGAACCCAATGAGTTTTAGGGCTGATATGGACTATAGGATTATGATTGATCTAATGATGGACAATTTTGTTGGCCACAATAGTCCTTATGACACAAATAGATTGGAAAACGTAAGGAGATTTGGTACGGAACCCTTATTTTAGAAAAATGTCATAGGAATATTGAGTGTTGAACTAAGGTGTATTAAGTATTAGACCTTGTTTATAAAACAACCACAAGGGATAAATGGGTTTGAAATCAAAAGGGAAAAATGAGTTTCTCTTGGCAGCCTCCATTGCTGAGGCAAATTTCAGCTTGTAAACCTTGGGAACAAAGAAAACGTAAGCCCTTTTATCAGTTCATGGGGCAGTTGGGGTAAAACATGAGCACAAGCTGGGTATAGGGTAGGTGGAATTTCCATAGTTTTTAGATTGGCTACATCATTAGTTGACATTGCCAAATGAGGTAGATTGTGTAGGCAAATATTGCATACTGAGCCTATATAAAAACATTATAGGCTGCAAATGTTGCACGCTACCTCATGTAAGATTTAAAACCTGAGTGTATAGTGGTATCAGGATCCAATATTTACGGGTTTATTTTCACTTCTTGAATTCAAGGGTGCAAGCATCATTAACACAAGGGTGAATATTGTAACTTTTTATAATTCTAGGAAAACTCCAATAGAAGAGCTGATATGGATTATTTGGTCAATAAACGGAGAGCCCCAATAATCTTCGGATCAACCTGATTATCAGTGAAAATGATAAGCTCTCTAGTTTACTCGATTAGGAGTTTAACCCTTTTACTGGTAATGTAATTAAATTCCATAAACAGAGAAAAAGAGCCATTAAGTACAGCGTACAGAGGTTTACTCGATTAGGAAATTAACCCTTTTACTGCTAATGTAATTAAATTCCATAAACAGAGAAAAAGAGCCAATAAGTACAGCGTAAAGAGATTGATGAGGAAATTTTTTTGTTTAGGCTGCGTTTGGTTGTAGTACAAAACAAAATTAGATAAAAATTTGTACCTGGAGATGCAGCTGCAGGTTGGGTTGCTCGCAATTAACAGGGAAACATCATCAACAACAATTTTAAAAATAATGGTGAAAACTCCATCACCGTTGTGGAAGCTTGGGCAGTTTTGGAAGTGATCAAATGTGCTAGAGATTTACAAAGACGTAATTGAAGGGGATTCAAAACTCATCATAGACTGCATTACAAGAAGGGTCATCCCTCCCTCCCTGCTCTTCAAGTAATGTGACAGAGGATATTCACAAGTTAATACAAGGGAAGCTTATTTTCCACCATGTCTATAAAGAGGTAAATGAACTTGCTGGCTTTCTTGCTAATTATGGGCTTATCAGAGATGACAGCTCTTAATTTTCTTCGATGAATTGGAATTTGGAAAGGATCAGAGTTGAGGATCTCTGTGGAGTGGGGATACACTACCCTGAAGAGTTTCTACTCCTCTTTTCCCTTGTTTGTACAAAAAAAAAAAAAAAAAAACTATGATTTGCATTTGTACTCTTTTTTTTTTTTTGTCTTATCTACACTCCTCTTTTCCACTACCTTTCCTCCTATTTCAATTCTCTTTTAGTTCATTTAAAATGGGGATCATATCATCTTGCTCCCAGTCTCACTTCCAAACAAATAAGAAATAACCCCCCTACTACCTCCATTCTCTTGCATAAAAGATGGGACCACACCATTTTACTTGCTCACTTTTTACAAACAAACAAGGTCAAAGAAAAAGTAACTTGGCCTATTTGCACGCCCACGCATTTACACAACCAAACGCAGCCTAAATTATAGAGAACCCTACTGATGAGCTCGTAATAACCAGCAGTGTCTAGCATGTAACAAACATCAGATACCTCCCATGAAAAGCCGAGCCAATGCAACTCACCTTGTTTCTATAATAACTGTGAATCTCACTTAGTCACTTGTACCGTTTGGACAGCAAAAACTTTCCAATCCACATGTATGGTTTGGAGAGAAACCCTTATCCCCCTTCCTTGTGAAGTGAAAACTCATTTTACTAGGTGAAGAAACAACTGGTGTATACAAATAATTCAAAATGCTTTGAGGGTTTGAATGTATCTGCACTTCCTTTGATAACATGTCATCTAGGGTAGAATCTGAGAAGGTGGTAAAAATGAAAATTTAGGAGGAATCACAACATCTAGGTCTATAATCTATAAATACTAGTTTGGATTATAAATTGGCAATAGGTATAGGCTTTGAAATGTGGAAACAGGGGTTTTGTTTTGTCTCCTATTAAGGACTATCTTAAGAGATGTAGATCTTCCATTTGACAAAAGCTCTTGCGGGTTGCTTACAAAAAAAATGTCTTGTGGGTTTATTACATTCAATTTGTCCTCGTCCTCATTTTCCCACTACCCAGTAGCCACACTTCACAATCCACCTGCAATTTCCTACCAAGCTATTGATTTTTTTTTTTTTTTAGATGGGAAAATGGCCATTTCTACCACGCTGAACATGGCTATGGATAAGACTTGCACATGGAAAAATGGTGATGATACAAGCCCAACATGGATTGCCTTGGCTGCGTGCCACGTGTCAAATTTGTAAAAAGAAAAACAAGATTGTATGAACAACAAGAATTTTCTTTTCAATTTCTTTTCAAAATTGATTCATATCTCAATAAGCTCTGGAGAATGGATTTGAACTATCTATACTTAAATTGGAAGCCACTGTCCATGTATGTATGATCATGAAAAATGTGGATACCAACTCTAGTATGACCAGAAGAGCCTGAGAAGAACTGGATAGATCACAACCCCTGCATGAGAAGTAATAAAAGAATAAATTCATTGAGGGATGAAAACTTCAGATTTTGACTTTTCCACCAAACACTTAAATTTTACATTTCTGATTTGCAAGTAGACAAGCAGGACCAGGAAGGAAAAAGACCACATATCTTTGAATAAGGACATATATTTTATTACCTTACTCTTCCTATTTTGTTTTATATTTCATCCGTCTTTGTTGACAAGTTAACATCTCAGTACTCATAAATATACTGAGAATTCCTGCCAGAAGAAAAGTGGGGAAGAAAGGAAGGAAAGCTCTCTGCAGGTTAATTCACATGTCCAGTCCCTAAGTTAATTGGTATATTATTGGTTATAGATATCACACCAATACTTGTGGAGCCACAGTTTCAACCAACTCTTCCAGATTTTGGTTGGCAGGTCACTATGTGATGAATGAGTTCTGAGGATGGATGAGTGTGCTATAGAAATGAAAAGTACTTTTGTAAAAATATTTTTAAAAAAGCACTTTCGTAGAAGTGTTTTCGTAAAAGTAATCTTATAAAAGCACTTAGAAGTGCTTTTATAGAAGTAATTTCGTAAAATTGCTATTGTAAAAGTGTTTTCGTAAAATTTCTTTCATAAAAGTATTTTTGTAAAAATGCTTATATAAAAGTACTTCCACAAAAGTGTTTTATAAAAGTACTTCCATAAAAGTGCTTTCGTAAAAGTGCTTTTATAAAAGTGCTTCCATAAAGTTTTTTTGTAAAAGTGATTTCATAAAAGTGCTTTTATGTACAAGTACTTTTATAAAAGTGCTTTTGTAAAAGGACTTTCATAAAATTACTTTTATAAAAGTGTTTTGATAAAAGTGATTTTGTAAAAGTACTTTCATAAAAGTGGTTTTATTCCAGCTTCAGTTTTGATCGGTTTCAAATTGGACAAGGGTTTCACCTCATGATTGGATTATTAAAATTTGGTTTAGGTCCAATTCAGACCAATAAGAACATGGACTGATTTATTTTGGATTGGCCCAATCCAATAATTATAATGGACCACCCAAATCCAATTTGATAAGGTTTGGATCAGATTGGGTTCAACCCAAAACCGGTCAATTGACACCCCTAAACACCACCACCAACACAACCAACATAAGCAGGACCATCAATGTCCACTTCTACACAGTCCTTCCATATAAAACACAAACAGAGAAACAACTGTATAAACTTGAGACTTGAGATATCCAGCTGCTTGTGTAACTTGAAACCTGAAGTATCTCTCCTTCATGCCTGTCATAAAGAGTATTATTTCATTTGCTATGAGAGAGAGGGGTGAAGGTGGCTGAAGATCAAACTCCAATGGAAGAAGCATTAAACTAAAACAACTCCCAGCACAGCAATTTTACTTGCTAAATTTTTACCAGTGAAATTGAGGAATCAGAACTGTTTCTCTTTCTGATGAGGAAGAAGAAAAGAAGAAAAATAATGAAGAATGTGCTTGGAAGAATAAGTGAATGGCATTCTCAAGGATCGATTTTTTGTATTTTGGACTTCTAAGCTTTCATGCTATAGATGATAAGATTAAAAAAAAAATCAAAAAGGAAAAGAAAATACAAGAAACCATCCAAGTTGAAAACAGGAGCTCAAAAATACTGTACAATTCCTCCCATGGTAGCACAACTAAACTCAAAACAAAAAAAAGAAGAGAGAAGAAAATTGTGAATGGCAAATAACTTAAGAAAACAAACTTCTTTCTCTTAATCCTTTTATTGCTTTCTTTAAGGATGCATCACAGGTTCAATGTCTTTAAGGAGCCCAACAATCTGCTGCATACTTGGCCTCTTTGATGGGAGATCAGCTGTGCACAAGTACCCAATTCTCAGGACCTCCTCCATTTGCATCTCTGACCTTGTCCCACAAATTTTTGGATCAATTGCTCTTGAACCCTGATTTTTTCTGACGAGTCCTCTAACCCAACTCACCAAATTTGATTCTTTCTCCTCTGGATAATCATCTCCAATAGGTTTCTTCCCTGTAAACAGCTCGAAGAGAACAACTCCAAACCCATAAACATCTGACTTCAGAGTTGGTGTTGGGGAACCGGCTTCTGGTTGAGAGAATTCTGGAGGCACATAACCTGGAGACCCACGTGAAATTTCTTCCTCCAAACTATTTCCAAAAATCCTAGCCAGTCCAAAGTCAGATAGCCTTGGCTCCAAATTTGAATCAAGATAAACACTGCTAGCCTTAACATCTCTGTGAATTATTGGAGGAGAGCAACCATGGTGAAGGAAGGTTAGTGCTCGAGCTGTGCCAAGTGCAATTTTGTGTCTAAATCGCCATGTTGTTAATAGCCCTTCAGAGCCAACATTCTGAATCCCATTATTGTTATCTTCTTCCCACATATCCGTGCTCCAATCTTCTGTTGTCTGAACTCCAAGAGGTAGATCATGAAGCAAATTTTGCAAATTCCCATTCTCCATGTAATCATAGATCGCAATCCTCTGATCTCCAGCTAAACAATAACCTGTCAACGGAACGAGATTAGGGTGTTTGATCCGGCCAAGATATTCGAGCTCCTTTGCAGCGTCCTGGTCATTCATAGTCGACCCATGCACCAAAACTTTCACAGCTACATGGATTCCCCCAGGTAGCAATGCTCTATAAACTGGGCCAAATCTCCCTTCAGCCAGAAGAGTTCCACGATCAAAATGTGAAGTTGCAGACAAGAGGTCGGCAAAAGTGAAATTCAGCAATGGCTTCTCAAAAATTACAACAGGGACTGCGGTCGCAAGCTTAACATCAGCAACCCAAGTGGTTGAATCTGTCTGGAAAGAAAAGGGGCCTAAGATGTTGGGTTCTTCTTTGAACGAGAGTTGCTTAGATGCCCACCTCCTGGTTTTCCTTCTGCATCCAAAGGCAAGACAAAGCAAGCCTACGAGAAGGCAGACAACTGCGATAGTTATGGCTAAAATAAGTTTGAATCCCTTGTGCGTAGAGGTTTTTCTTCTGAAAAGATCTGGGTTTGCAGCTATTGGGCAGCTGTTCAGTGATCCAATGAACGCAGTTCGTAAGGTTTCAGGGGGAAATCTTGAAGCACAGAGGGTTAAGTTGTTATAAGAGAAGTTGAAGTTCTTCATCTGGTGTAGTTTTTCAATCACAGATAATGGGATCTCCCCGGTCAGATTGTTCTGTGAAACGTCTATAACTTGGAAATTGTTAGTACGCAGAAATGGAATTCGGCCAGTGAGATGGTTCTTGGAAAGGTCTAGCACTGTTAAGCTACCCAATCGCGAGATTGCATTTGGAATTCTTCCTCCGAGATGAGTTTGGGACAGGTTGAGGTATTCTAGAGCTGAGAGCTTTTCGAGTTGGGGGAATTCCTGCTCAGAAAATCTATTTCCGGCGAGATTAAGGTGTTTGAGATTCTGGGCTTGGTTCAAATTATGGAAGAACACTCCGCTGAATTCATTTGCAGAAAGATCAAGGTAAACCAAACGAGACCAATTGAAGCTAGAATTCAAATGTACCTGGGATATGTGACCTTGAAACTGGTTGCGACTGAGGTCGATAACTTCCAGTGGCTCCTGAAAAACAGCCACCACGGAACCCTGGAATAAGTTCCCAGAAATATTAAGATGAGTGATCGACTGCAGCCCAAGAAAATCAGAGGTCCTTCCACGAATCTCATTTTCAGAAAGGTTCAAGCTTCGGAGCTTGGGAAATGCGGTACCGAAACCATTTGGAACAGTTCCGTTGAGTTGATTGTATGAAAGGTGGATGGAGACTAGAGATCTACAATTAAGAATTGCTGAAGGAATCTCACCGGAGAAGTTGTTGACAGAAAGGTCGAGACTTTCCAGTACACCGAAGTTGCCGATGTTACTAGGAATAATCCCAGAAAACTGATTATACGAGAGGTTAAGGACCCTGAGACTATTCCCCAAATTCCCGAAATCAGACGACAAACCGGTGATATTGTTCTTGCTCAGATCCAAAGTTTGAAGCTTGTTGAGTTTTCCAATGGTGGTTTCAGGGATGAAACCAGTGAGACCTAATCCAGAAGCCAACAATCCAATAACATTCTCTTCTTTGTCACATAAGACATGTTTCCATGAACAAACTGGAGCGGATAAGTTGAAAATGGATGAAGAGTTTACACTCATTTTGTTGAAGAAATCAGAGACAAGGAACCTATCTGTATTAGAATTTTGAGAAACTGAAGGTTTAAAGAAGAGTGTGAGAACCAGAAAGGAAACAAATAACCCAGAGCCCATTTTTGTGAAAGCCCTGAAAAGAACAACAGAAGGGGAAAAAAAAAAAACAAAAGAATTGAAAGTTCTTCAGGCTCCAGTTACCTCCCTCAGAGGTCAAAACAATCACTTTGACATTAACGGTTTTGGGGTCACTAAGAACTCCGTCTTCTGCCTTCTGCAACTGTACGAAGAGGCAAAACCACTAACACATAGTGAAGAGTAGTTTTAGGCCTTCAAACAAGAATGCTTTCTGGGTTCAAACTCATCTCAGAATTTCAGAGCCACCACTTTTCTGCAGCTTCAGGGCCATGTTACATCAAGAAAAACCCAATCCTGATTTTAAAGAAACTGTATATAAAGACCACTTACTCAGGAACAAAAAAGATGGCCTTTTGAGGACTATGTGAACACCAAATCGTCTTCTTTTTCTTTCGTTTGGGAATTGGGAGTATTACTATTTAGAAGAGAACGTGACCTAACATTGTCTGGCTTTGTAACTCCATGAAAGACAAAAAAAGACAACCCAAGTATGCAAATACTCAACACTGATGAAGCTCTTTTGTCTCTATTTGGAACATGAGAAACTTCGACTTTCTTACATTTTTAAATTAAAAAATGTAATTACAGAGAAAGGAAGAGGGAGTGAAGTGAAGAAAAGTAGACAAGTTCAATCAATGTGGTCAGAGGTTGGTTTTCATAAATGGTTTGAATGCGATCTATTAGGCTGATGAATTTAACAGAGCCGTAGGTAGGATTATGATTCAGGCCAGCTTTTCCTCCCAATGGGCAATGGGTTGTGTTTCATTCCAACCCCAAAAAATGAACAGAAATGTCAAGAGCTTTATAGGGAAAGCAGGATTGAAACTGCGTAGAAAGTCAAATACTCTTGCAACCAACATTAACCATACATATTTATTAACAAATAAAATATCCTTTTTTAACTTCTTTTGTTAGTTCAAATTTCAGGTTATGAATAATTAACTTAATTTCTCCTTTTATTTATATTTAATGAATATTTGTATATTGTAAGGATATACCTTAATCCATGGCAAGAAGATAGAATCTATAAAGTTAAAAAATAAAATTAAAATTCCACAGCTCTAGAGGTTCACTGCAATAAGATTTGTTTGGTGGCTTGAGAGGAACCCATGAGTAATTTATTCATTTAAACAAGTGGGTTGTTGTATTTTGAATCTTTGATGACTTCATTCAAATTTCATGACCATTTTTTTCTCTTGAGGGTGGGTCCGTGTTTGGTATGATAAAATATAAAAGAAAAACAAAAAATTGAGGGAAAGTTCTTATGGAATTTTACAAAACTTGGTAAAATTTCCTCCAATCTTCTGTTTCTCTTTTGTGTTTTTTATCAAACCAAACATTTCTTAAAGTCTTTAATGAATCAAGTTGTTTTCTTTAGTCATTACTCAAGAAATCAAATTGTATTATGGGTCCCAAGCCCAACTCATTGTTAGGTTAAAAGAACCCACTAAATCATCAATATGGATCAGCTTATTTGTGGGGGTCAGCTCTCTGAATCTTCATAGCCGAAGTGATAACAAGTGATCAAACACATCCAATTGTCTAATCAGTCCAATTTCTAAGCTAAGGACCTCCATCTCTTATCATTGTAAACTTGGGCTAGACTCAATCTAAGAGGAGACCCACCGATAGAAAGGTCCTGGTCTATGAGTTGGTCAATTGGCCTTGTGAATGGAATCTAAGGACCACCATTGCTGCTGATTCTGCCCCCTGTCACATGGTTGCTCCTTTTTTTTGAATATGCCAAGTTGAGTACTTGATGAAGAATAATGGGTTCAATGAAACATGTGCGCATGCCAAGACTGACAACCCTAGGAGGAGAAGCCTTTCATGATTTGCATTTATTGAAGTGATGGAGTAAAAAATAATCAATTGGCACGATTAGCAACAAACAAAATAGAGAAGAATTCTGTCTTGTTTCATGGAATTGGAGACGATGCTGAAATAACTGAATAGAGTGCATATTGTTATATTGATTTGAATAATAAAATATTGAGGTAGAGTGATCAACCCAATGTCAGCTTCAGCTATTGGGAACTTGCAGCCATTCACTAAAAAGCATGGTTTTGAAAATGGGACTGGACGGTTGGACCGGTTGACTTGGAAACCGGTCATGCAACTGGTTCTGTTTCACCCTAAAATCGTTCCTGAACCAAAAATCTCCATTGATTAGGTCAGGCTGGCCAGCAACCCACTGACCCAAGTGATTGAACTGTTAGCCGGTTGATCCAGATAACGGTTTGGCTGTTTTTTATTTAAATTATTTTTATTTAATAAATTAAAACAAACTATACATTTGAACTGAATGGTCTAACCATTCGACCCAGGAACCGGTTCCCTGTCCGATCCAGTTTCTAAAACTTTGCTAAAGAAACAAAGAAATAAGTTATTCAGTTCAGCCACTTCAACTATTGTCAAAGGGCCCCCAAGATTCATCAATGTTGAGGGTATTTGCTGATGAAGTTTGTTTATGCTCAACAGCTTGGTTGGCTCCATGTGGGTTGCATTTGGTTGGCCAATGAAATTAAGGCTTAGTGAGATACTCTCAGCACTCCCAATGAAATTTAAGTATAAGAAGCCTAAACTTCTTGATATGGTGTAGTGAATCAAGAATTAAAATTTAAAAATGAACTTTGATGTTATAAACAAGATTCCATAGTTGAATGGGTTTGAGAGTTGTGCCTGATGCAGTTGAATCCCATACCCATTCACAGAGAGAGAGAGAGAGAGTTTAGGTGGGCCATTAGATAGCTTTTGTTTTGGATTTAGATCGAGTTGATAAGGAAAAGATTGCTTGGGCTGGATCACCTGTCAGATGGGTCTCAGTTCCTTGCATGCATAAACTGGCCTTGTACAACAGCAAAGCATATTTCAACCTAGATTCTCAGCCATTAGATTTGAATAGATAATGGGCAGATTTTGGGAGATTGGTGGATGCTTTTCCCAACTCCAAAGCATTTGGTTTCAAGATATACCTGTGTCATTCATGTACTGAATTACAAATGAGGCTTCAATTTCTGATTACGATCCTGGTTTAGGAGGTTTAAAATCAGTTATACATTCCTTTTGTTTGTAAATACGATTTGCATTCTTACTTGATATAAATTTGTACTTTTTATCAAATTTGTATTTACTTGCAATATATTGTATTAGATGCAAAATTTGAACCACCTTCTTCCTATTTTAATTTTAGGCAAAGTTAAATCTAAAGCAAAAGTAAATTAGAATTTACACTCCCATGCATATACAATATGCATCAGAAATTCAGAGTACAAATGAAATTCTCATTACAAATAAAGGAATTAGGATATGTTCCTCACACCAACCTTACAGGCACATCTCACCATGCATTGAGAATATCTCCCGTAAATAATAACATATAATACAGGTGATATTCGGATGTACCTGTAATCTGTGTGAGACGCCGTGTGTGAGGAACAGATCCGATCTCCAAACAAACTGACCCTTATCAACAGAGAGAACTTGTCAAATTTGTATCATCTCAAATTACAGATTCCAACAAGGAATACAACAGTCAATTCAACAGAACAGGATCTGCTCCTTACACATGGGCGCCTCACAGGCATATCCACCGTGTGAGGTCGGTGTAAGGTCCGTGCAAGGAGGTGAGGTCGGTGTAAATATGATTTGCACTGTGAGATCGGTGTAAGGCGCCCTGTGTCAGGAACAGGTCCGGTCTCCAACTCAACCCATTAATCAGGCTACCCAAATAGCAAGTTTAGGTCTGGACTGGACCTTAGCTGCTTGATTTAACCCGGCTGAGCTTTTAAGTTTTGGGGCTGAGTTGTTAGATTCTTTGCTTTTGTAGTTAATACAGTTATGATCCAAATGCAATATGGTACAGTGTTGGTACTTCTGTTACTGCTCTACCTAATTCAATCATATTTATGACTATAGACCATTTCATTCCATAACTTGTATCTAAAACAAGGACACTGGAAGTCTGGAAGACTGGATCTTACTGGCCTGAATTAAATAAGAAAGTAGAGTCCACTCACATTTTGGCACTAACTTCACTCTTTCGGCAGATCAGATGTAGACCTGCACATGGGCCTGGGCTGGGCCGGGCCAGGTTCGGATTGGGCTTTCACTCTGTATTAACAGATTTTTTTAAGGCCCGAACCCGAAATTTAGCCCATACTGTTACTATTACTGAAGCGGCTGAATATATATATGTATATATATATAAGAGAGAGAGAAAAATTATAAAGAAAAGAATAAAAAATATATATATTAAACTATAAATATGTATTTCAATAAATATTATATTATTTATATATTTTATATAATATATAAAATACATATTATATATTTTATAAAATATATAATGCTGAATCGGGTCGAGTTTGGTTTTTTTGACAAATCCCGTGCCCGGCCTGAAACATAGTCGGGCTTACTGTGTTAGGCCCAAAGTTAGGCCTGTGGACCTAATTACATGACCAAGCCCGACTAGGGTGCAGGCCGGGCCGAGCCACTGGACTATCCGACCCATGAACAAGTCTAATCAGATGCTATCATCATGCTAGTGCGTTAGGTCCTGGTCCAGATTCAGGCAGCGCTAGTGGGACAGAAATTGTCAAATTCTGAGAGTTATTGCATGCTCTTCGCTGCAACCTAGGTTCTAGATTTGCCACGTGGCTAATACAAAACACCGATTGGTTTGGTCATGGGTCATCTCCCGGACCACATCCTTTATATTGACTTTTTTGTGATCAGGTGATAAACTGAAAATTAATTGATGTTAGTTGCCCAACAATTCAGCTTGTTGACGCTGGTGCATACGAAGGAAGCCTACCTGAAAAGCCAATCCGGAGAACCCAATTTACATGGTCGTCTATTAAAGCTAATTTTGTTAGATTCTTTAAAGCAACTATAAGCTAAAGCAATGCAACCAAAGCTGGACATTTTGAACAACTCTTACAACGCCATCTACTTCTTTGCCACGTGGAAAATTCTGAATCACGTAATAACTCGGTGTCTATGGTGAATTATTTCTAATACTATTACTATTATTATGAAAACCCCTATTATTTCTTCTTGAGGAATTGGTAGATTTCCTAAAGTGTCTCTAGTGAATTGAGTCCGACACAAGCAATTTTGTTTCAACCAGACAAGATTTGACAGAGTAAATGCATGCTTATATTGACAGGTGACAAGAACGATTCACGATGATGGATTTAGAGATGGAAAAGTCAGATATCCCCATCACAAGTTGACCCCACCCGTGGACCATGGTCTATCAAATATCAATCCCATTAGGCCATTACAAAAGTGGAACTATTGGTTAATGGGTCCCACCCAAGCCCAAAAATACCAACCCTGATAAAGAACTGACCCAATGAAACAATTATTAGCCCTCTGATCATCTGATCACATGAATGGATATAGATACAGTCACCAATTCCACTGAGTGCCGGATCATAAAACCTATGGAAGTGGCGAAGTGTTCACTGCTCAACTCCCTCAATGGTTGGTGAGAGACCATATATGATTTCAGACTTAGCATTGAACATGACAAGAATCTGTATCTGAGAACTCTTTGATTGCAATTGAATGGTGATCTCAGTTGGGGTACTGGCCTGCATAATTTCTCTCAAAGGATGTGCACGTGTCTATCAGCTCACAACTTTAAATGTTGTCACAGCTTTACTTTGGTCTAAGTCACTCAGCACCCAGGTGGATGTGACTCATCAAGGCCGGATGATCAAACCCGGCTTGCCCATAACACAATCTATCATTTAGGTCCGAGATGTTTGGGTTCATGGATGTAAATAACCCATGCAGGATGTTGACGTAGCAGGAAGGAATTCTTTTCATGCTTGGAATTACTGAGGGTACGTTTGGTTCCATGGATGCCTAAAATCGGAATCCCGAAGTCCCATTCCTGGCGGTATGGGCTTCCTCTACATGGGGAATGGAATTTTTATTCAAAAGTCTTCAAGAACTAAAGAATTTCTGAACAAAAAACCCCTCAATCCCTAATATTAATAAAATAGTAATAAAATAACACTACAATAAAATATTAATAATCTAATAATAAAATACTAGTATAAATTAAGTACCAATAAAAATATTAATAATCTAATAATAAAATATTAGTATAAATTAAGTACCAATAAAATAATATTATAACAAAATATAACAAAAATAAAATAATAATAACTAAGTACCAATAAAATAAAAATATAACAAAAATAATAAAATATTAATAAACTAACTCAATTGAAAAATTTTGGATAAATCAAATTCCGACTCCAAATGAACCAAACACCAATGATTAGAATCCAACTCCGATTCCATCTGAATCAAATAGGCATTGGGAATAGACAATTCGGATACTAACAGTAAACCAAACGGATCCTAAAAAATGCTGCAAAGTATACAAAGATAAATTTCACCTGAAAGAGAAGTGCATCAACACCCTATACAACGAAATCAATTTCATTTCTCCCCATTGTTTATCATCTTCTCATCTTCTCGTCGGCCTCACTATTGACTACCCCTTCTGTGAATATTCCACAAATCGTATCCCCCAACCAAAAAAAAAAGCAGCATAATAGAGGAAAGAAAAAGGATGCAAGAGATCCAGATATGATTAACAAAAGATTTACAGATATGTGCTATATCAAGACTTTCTTGATGTAATGGCTCTTTGAAACCATGGCACTTGACTTGACAAGCATGTCGCTACTGGGACATGCTGAGAGAGAAGCTGGGCAGTGTCCTTCCACCAGGAAACCTCCATTTCTTTCTCACGGAGTTTGTGCATTGTGCATTCCAAAGCAAACTCAAGCTCTGCTATCCGTTCTTGCTGTCTTTCTTCCAGTAGCTCATGCAACTTTCTCTCCAGCTCTGTAGGAGAAACTCCATAGTAATCCTCAGTATCTGCATCTTGTAGATTGTCCACTTCTATAAAACTTGTACTTTGGCTTCCAGAGGGAACAGTATCATCATCTCCCTGTTATTTTCAGCGCTTATGTGTTTGAGAATAGAAAATGATGGCATCATAAATTCAAGACAAAAAGAGAATATGTTCCTGGAGATTTCATATGGAAATTTCTCTTTAGAATGACCTGAATATGTTGATCAGAAGTAAAAACCTGTATAATCAATATCAGTTAATTCATAGGAAGATGGATTTTCCACCCTCAACATCCTTGCCCTGTGCTCAGGGATATCAGTTTAAAACTTCACCTTTCAACGTTTAAAAGTATATTCAACATACACCTGAATTTTATAACATGCACTCAAAACCTTTTGCTACACTTGGAAAATTAAAACTGCAAATATTTTAGGAAGGAATAAAAAAGTAGGAATTGGACATGCAAAGACCAGCAATTGGCAATATGACACAGGAGTAACAGCATAAAATCCTATAATTCCTAATAAAATCTCAAACCACAAACATGTGTAACAAATTATTACTTGGTCATATGTACTCATGATTCACAACCCCCCCCCAAGCTTTCTAATTTCTCTAGAGGAAAGGAGATCTTCAAATGTTTCTCCCAAATATCATGCAAATTTGATATATCGGCAGAATTTTAAGATGGACTGTCCTAAATATTCCAAATTCTGAAAAGATATTAAGGTTTTTCTTTTCATTTGCCACAATCAACAGAAAACAATTGCAAGGCCTAATAAACACTTGACTCCACCAGAAAAGAAAAAAAAAATGAAAAATCTTTTGATGCAGAACTTCTAAGTCCTTAAAGGATAAGTACCTGAATCTAACACTTAAGATCCATCTAAAAGATAAGATAGAGACCCAGACTGCAGTCGAAGATAGGTCCATAGAACGAGAAGTTTACTTGGCACTCTTTTATATCCTTCAAAACTTTTGCAGGGACAAACTCAAGGTTTTAAATGGATAAAGGCATAGTTGAGGTGTAATGTCCAGGAAAAGTGAGGTGTAAGCCTCAAGGCGTTGCGAGGCATAAGACTCAAAAATTAAGAAAAAAAAATAATTGACAATTACATAAGTTTATAAGCAATAAGTTATTGCTTTTAAACATTAAATAAAATAATAATACATCAATTAACAATTAAATATATTTTACATTACATGTTTCAAAATGCAAAGTTCTCAAATTATTCCAATGACCAAGAAGAAAGAAATCATATGAGAATCATTCATATAATTGATATTAGATTTATGGTGATCCATTATTTAGATGAAAGGAAAAGAAACGAAAAATAACAAACATGGGATGTTAAATTTAGAATAATAAGGAAAAAATCCCACTTGATTTATCCAAGAGAAACTAAGAACCTGATAGGCCCTTTTTCTTTGCACTGAACCCTCCTAAAACACTAAGAGAAACTAATAGAACTTGATTTTCCCTATTGGTTTTTCATTTTTACTCTTTATTTGGCCTACAATCATTGAACTGCTCAATCTTTACATTTTGAACTATAAAAATGCATAAAATATATTTTTTTTGCATTAAATCACTAAATAATCATTGATTGTTGACGCTTACGCCTTAACAATTTGAACTCAACCTACACCTTATGTCATGAGGCTTGAGGCTTATGCCTCATTCTTCCGAAGGCTTAAGCCTTGAGGCAAAATCTGTGTAACTTGTCTCAAGGCATACACCTCACGCCTCAAGGCTTAAGCCTTTTAAAACAATGGACAAGCTTCACATAAACCACTTTTGATATAGAAAAGAAAGACTTTCATAATATGAACCAGGTGCAGATTCCTTGATCCCTTGATCCTTCTACCTATGCTATCATCTCCAACTTGGAAGATTCATCAATAGGTGGCATCATCTTTCCTCAATATGCACACATATGAAGCCTGTTAGGCAAGAAGATACTTGTTGACAGTTGCTCCTTCAAGGTTTTTGTTGAGTTGGGCTGACTTCTAGTTATTGGGCCCAGTTATTTTGTTCTTATTTTAATTTGTTAAGTTAGGAAGTTGTTGGGCTTTAGGCCCATTAGCTTATGTTTTTTAAGTTGTGACTATTCAGCTACTTTAGTAGCCGCCCTACTAAGGGCATTCTTGTAATCTTTCATTCTTTTAAGTTAAGTATAAAATATAATGAGGGGTTGGCGGCCAGAACTAATTCAATTCTGATTAACATCCCACTCTTTCTTTCCTCCCTTTTCTTCTCTACTGCTGAAACTCTTCATCTTCTTCTTCTTTCTCTTCACAAGGAATTCATCCTGATTTACAAACAGTGATTTCTACTTGGTATCAGAGCAAGGCCGAAGGTTCCTTGAGCTGTTTTCTCATGCAGCCCTAGATCGGCCAATTGCATGGTGATTTAAGAGGCTGATCAAAGATCTCAAGTAAGCCCAGTTTTTGGATTTTTTGGTGAATTTGTTTTGCCCTATAGCTGGTCTAGGGTTTCTCATCAAAATCAAGAAAAACTGGAGAATGGGGGAGAGTCATGTTTCCGTTGGACTCTTTAATTTTGACCTAGGAAGTGGTGCCCTAATTTTTTAAGGTTCCTTGGATTTTTCTATAGGGGGCCTCAAGTCCTGCCTGATTTGGAGGTTTCTGGAGAGAGCGGCTGCCTCTTCTCTCTCTTCTCCCATCCCGTGGAAAAGGAATCTTTTGTAGAAGGACCATCTGGGGCACCAGAAAGGTGTCGTTGGTTCCAAAAGTGTTTCATTTGATCTTCTTGCATATTACAATAATTTTCTTTGCACCTTTTGAGAAGTATGGATGGTCATGGAGTTGAAAACAAGCCCGAGAGTGAAATGGGACCAGTTGGTGGAGGTGTTGGAGACCTTTTCGGGGCTGAGACCATTACTACAGTTAAGTTGGATGGTTCAAATTACTTAGAATGGTCACAATCTGCAAAGATGGCCATTGGTGCTCGTGGGAAGTTAGGGTATATCACTGGTGAAGAAGTGAAGCCCGAAACTAACAGCTCCAGGTGGGTACAAGAGAACTATATGGTGATGACTTGGCTGTGTAATTCAATGTTGCCCCATATAAGTAAAAACTTTTTATAGGCAAATATAGCTAAGGAAATATGGGATGGGGTTGCAAAAACCTATTCACAAAGGGAGAATGTTGCTAGGACTTGTCAATTGAGAAATCAGATTATTGCTACTAGGCAGGGAGATAGACCTATGGTAGTTTACTTTTCAGCCCTTAAAACCCTATGGCAGGAGATTGACCATTTAGAGACATTTGCTTGGGAGTCCACTAAGGATGCAGCTGCCTACCAGAAACACCTAGAGAAGTATAGGGTATTTGAATTTCTTGTTGGCCTTAATCCCGAGTATGATATTGCAAGGCAGTACATTCTTTCCAGGGGCAATGTTACCCTCTCCCAAGCATATGCCTTTGTGTCAGGGGAGAAGAGCAGGAGAAATGTGATGATGAAAAATTCTGGGTTTGATCAGTCAGCCATGGTTAGCACTGTGAGACATAAACAAGGTGGAGACCGGTGTGGCAGTGAAATCAAAAAGGAAGACAAAAAAGATTTGATCTGTGACTATTGTAAGAAGCCTAAACACACAAGAGATACTTGCTGAAAGCTTCATCCACATCTTGTGCCGAATAGACTCAAAAATAAGAAGGGAAATGCTCACATGGCAATCACTGGTAACATTCCGACCCCTCATACTACAGCTGCTCTAGAGTCTGTTGCAGCTGCTACAGTAAGGGCCGAACTTGAGTGGTATGGGCAGTTTCTGAACCAGCGGGATACAGCCAGTTCTAGTTCAGAAATATGCGGACAGCAAGGTACAGGTGGTTCTGGTGGAGTTCATTCTACTTCCTTTGCTCACACAGGTAGTTCACATGCCACTACAAATAATGTTTCTACTTCAGGTAAGGAGGGACCTCCTTGGATTATAGATTCTGGAGCCTCAGAGCACATGACTCATAGCTCCACCATTTTTTCCTCTTACCAGCTCTGTTCTGGCAGAGACAAGGTCTCCACAGCTGATGGATCTCATGTTCCAATTGTTGGGAAGGGGTTTGTCAAGATTAGTGATTCCATTTCCCTTCCCTCTGTCCTTCATGTTCCTAGATTGAGCACTAATTTGTTATCCGTTAGTAGTTTGATTAAGAACCTAAACTATTCAGTAATTTTTTCTCCTGGTCATTGTATCTTGTAGGATCTGGATTCAAAGAGGACGATTGGGAGTGGTTGTGAAGTGAATGGAATCTACCTCCTGGATGTGCTTCCTCCTCATCAAAGTCATCATGTCAGCAGGAATAGTGAGTTAGGGTCTGTGGGTCAAATTATGCTTTGGCATAATTGTTTGGGCCATTTTCCTTTTTCTTCTTTGAGTCTTTTGTTTCCAAAGCTATTTGAGTCCGTTAGTTTGCCAAGTCTGGAGTGTGAAGGTTGTCGATTTGGAAAGCATTGTAGACATTCCTTTAAAGCTAGCATTGTAGACATTCCTTATCATGTTCCTTTTATGGGTGGTTATCGATATTTTCTCTTATTGTGGATGATTTCTCTCGATATTCTTGAGTTTACTTGATGAGATCTCGAGATGAGGTACCATCCTTGGTAAGGCAATTTCATCAGATGGTGCTAACACAGTTTGGAACACGAATAAAGGTGTTCAGATCAAACAATGCCAGGGAATATTTTGAAAAACACCTTACTCCATATCTGTTAGAATATGGTGTTGTCCATCAGAGCAGCTCTATTCCTACAGCCCATAGTAGAATGGTGTTGTAGAAAGGAAGAAGATACACATTGTTGAGATTGCAAGAAGCATGATGATCACATCTATAGTTCCAGTTGGGTTTTGAAGTGATGCAGTTCTCACAGCAGTATATTTGATGAACAGGGTGCCCTCTCGTTTACTTGGATTCAGCACCCCATTCAGTCTTCTTTTTCCTGAGAGGGAAATGTTTCATATTCCTCTCAAGGTGTTTGGGAGTGTTTGCTTCGCACATATCCTTAGTCCTCACCGCTCGAAGCTTGACCCGAAGGCAAAGAAGTGTCTTCCTTGGATATGTAGAAAATCAGA